TGCAGTCATTTAATGTTACTAATTACAATGTTAATAATTATAAGAATTTCATGTTAGCTTTTAATATAACTCGTTTTTCGAACATATTGTCAGACAATTTATGTGATTTGGGTAAATTGATCATTGTTGCAAAAGAAAAAAGTCTTTCCACTGGAGTTGATGATGGCAGTGGCGTATTGTATTTCAAAAATACACTTTTTATATTCGGATAGCGGGAAAGAGTTTCAAGTTCTTGATCATTATCATTAAAAAAATGTAATACTTGAAGTTCTGCTTTTGATTTTAATTCATTTGAAAACATAGAAGTAGATTGAGTACCGAAATCAAAAAAGTCATCTTTGTTGAAGGAAATTTCTTGTGTGCGTGGTAATGTTTCCAAATCCATTTCCATTTCTACAGCTTTCTTGAATATATTTAAAATTTGTTCCTGGTAATGAAAATCCATACAAGATAACCAACGGTTTTTGAAGCGTGGATAAGATAAAGCGGCAATAGCAGCATTTTCTGCAACAGTGGTTGTACAATTGAAAAATTCATCAAATCTTCTTTCGACAGCATTGAGAAATACTTCTGAAAGTGGTTTACAAAATGTCCAATTCTTGTTTACAAGAAGCTGTAATTTTCGACGTAGGGCTACAAGGCAAGGTAAGAGTATGCCATAATATGTATTATTTTCTCCTTGAAGCAAGTCTAATGCTTCTGCTACTGGTCCTGCACAAGACAAATGCTCCTCTAAGTACTTGAATTCGTGTTCATTTAACATGTTATTGATATTTAAAGCTTTAAACAACTCAAAACATTTGGGCTTAATTTCACTGATCTGTTTGAGAGCATCATATAAACTATTCCATCTTGTATCACCTGGTCTAGTAAGAGTATGACCTAATATGCCTTCAATAATTTCAGCGGTTTTTGGTCGCATAGCAGCCTTCCATAATAAGTTACATTTTTTCATAACTTGAGTATGTATAATTGATAAATCTTTGGAATTTATCAAAAGTTTAGCCGCATCACTAGTAGCACAAAGACTCAAAGTATGAGCACCACATCTTAAATGAACTGGTAGAAACTTCTGTATTTCTGATAATAAGTGTGCTTCTTCTTCACTGAAAGATTCTGCGTCGGATTCAGTTGGTGCATCACTTTTCTCGGATTCACTACAGCTTTCTTCCATAACATGTAAACGTTTTGGTGTTACACCATACATTTTGAAAGCTTTAATGAAATTGCTTCCATTGTCCGTAATTGTCGCTATAATTTTGTTTTGTGTAAGACCAAAATCTGTATGAATTATATGTAATAAATCAGTAATCCTATCATATGAATGTGTGCTACGAAATCTTCGGCACGCCAAAGCTACAGATTTTCGTTGAAAGTTATTCTGTATAAAGTGAGCAGTAACTCCGAGGAAACTCCTTTTCTTTCCCGACCAAATATCTGCAGTAGTGCACACAAAAGGTATTTCTTGCAGTTCTTGTTTAATCAACAAGTTTTGTTTTTCGAAAAGAGAATTGATTCGGTTTCCAAGACTACGTCGACTCATTATAGTAAGACCTTGTTTAGATATATTCAATTTATCAAAAAGAGAAATAAAGTATGAGTTCTCCACTGTCCTTAAAGGAATCATTGCATGTAGAATAAATTTTGCTATACATTTATCAAATGTATATTGAGAGAGCTTTTGGGCATGTCCACGCGATGAATGACTTGCAGTTTCGTTTGTCAATCCTGCAGAACTTATTTTTATTCTTTTAGATTTATTATAATCTTGATAATCTGCTACTGTTTGCTCTCCATGTCGCCGTTTCAAATGAGATATGAAATTTGAAGTAGTATTTTTATATCCTTTAATTTCAACATTTTGAGGTTGACATTTTACGCAAAGTGCAACTATTGCATCTGAAGAACTTTTTTCTGGTAAATATCGAAAAAATTTTCCATCAATAATCGACATTTCTGATTGATGTTTTTCCTGTCCGTGTTTTGCAAAGATGATGAGGCTTCATTGCTGTCCGACATCACAAGAGATGATACACCAAAAATGTCAGAATCACTATTGCTCATAATGTTATCAAAAAGAACAACGAAAGAGATTTAGAAAAAATATTTAGAAATTACGTATTCCTTGTTATCTTGTAATACTTCTCAATCTTAGAGATATTGTTGTTAGAACACATCTATAGGTGTACTGGTAAGATAAGTCAACTTTGCGTAGTACGCAGCAATGCCAAAATGGATATTCAAACAACACGCATTCGTAGCCAGAGAGAAGGTACATATAGAGCACGCAAGCCAGCCAAAATCTACTAAGGGTATTAGAGAGAGAGAGTAGATAAATTGTTTATACGCCGGTGAACTCAACTAACAGATATACGCAGTTTGCGTTTGTGTACGTTTTCCCTTCCATTATAATTGCGTATTGCTCGAATTTTTATTCTGACAACATTAATAACGCGAAGGAATTCCAATGTTTACTTTGGTTTAGTTTGTATACAGGGTAGTCTATTAATAAAGTGACACAGTCGATTATCTATTTACAGTGACACAGTCGATTATCTTTTAACTATGACTGTAACAAAAAAATATTTCATACAAAAGTTAAAATATTTCAAAGAGAATGTAAAATAGGGGAAATGAAATTTTCCTAGATATTTTGTAGATTTGGAGAGCTCAATTTTTTTTAATAAAATATTCTAAATTACTTTATTTAAATAAATTTCTCATAGCATTCTGCATAAAAAGTTATAAGAGTAAAATCGCTATATTAAGCGATTCCGCAGTACGTTATTCGTTCGATTTCTTTAATGCGCGTTCGCTTCGCTTCCGCTTAGTTATGACATTCTTGTGCGATGCGAGTATCGCACATTGCTTAATGTATTAAATTATTTTATTTCCCAATTATTGATAATTATAGCCAGACGGGCTATAACAGTATGTATAATGGTATATACATATGTATTAGTAGTTAGGGAAATTATTATATTTCAATAAAAAAAATTTCGACTATGTTAATCATGTTTTGATTAAAAACTAACAATTAATGATTAATAATTATTTTTCTAAACGACTAAATAGATGATTAATATCTATTAAATTGATTAAATTAATTGTGATTATATGTAACACTTTTTTAATCGATTTTTTTGAGATGATTAAAAACTTAATTGATAAATAGTTCCGATTAATTTCATAAGGATTAAAAATTTTAATTATAAATTATAATTAATAATTAATGTTATAATCGCAATCATTAATCAACAAATTGACTAGATTTTGCCCAACTCTGTACTTTGATCGTAATTCGGCTCGCGCCGTGGATTACCGCTGATTACCGCTAAGTATTGAGTCGAATATCATTTCCGTTATACCGAATGCGTCCGGAAATCGAGCTTATTATTGTATCTTGCGTGTTAAAGATTATTGCGCTGTTAATTACTATTTGAGCTTCCGTATTACGCTCTGTGAGATATTATATTCACCTTCGTATCGTTTAAACCACTGTTACCATTGCATTGTAATCGCCGTTACAGAGTTACTTTTATTTATATTAATTAGTATTATTTCTGTTGTGACGAAACGTGACCTTCGCCTTATCGGTTAGGGATCCTAATCTCTTTGTCGTTCGAACTTGTAGGTTCGATTTCTTATATTATACATTTTATCTTTTTTTGTTGTTATCCACTGGATTGTGTCTATTATATTAATCTTATCTATTGTATTAATCTTGTCTATTATATTAGTCTTATCTATGTTACCTATCTATACTGTATTCTAACTGTTAAATATATTTACGTAATTTTAAGTAAAATAACTACAGGTCGATTATTTCTCTCTCCTGAATATTCTCTAGCGTTCTCTTTTTAAATATTCAATTCACAAAGAACTCTGCCCCTCTGCCATACACTGGGCTTAATCGTCGGACATTACCGTTACCGTAGCGATATCGTGGCGCGGAAATACCGCGCCTGGCGCCCAATTCCGCTCTCCTTTCCGGAGATTTATAAGTTACCGCATTTTTGGAGATACCGTCTAAACAACCGATACCGCCTGATACCGTAATCGCCAAACTTGCACGCTACCAGATCGGTGTTCTCGAGGTGGGCAACGGCGTCGCAATGTGCACCTTCTGCACTCTGTGCACTTTCCTGCAAAATCAAATAAAATAACGTAATTCGCGCTAAGATACTATCCCGCGCTCAAACTAAATCAAAATTAATCAAAAATAAAATAATTCTTCTGTCGCACCCAGATACCATCTATAACGGCACCAAGTGCTCTCTCAGAAAAATGAACTGAAATTTATTATTATAACAAAACAACTCAAATTCGCGTAGCAAAGTATCTAGGAGTCGCCGCATACGCGAAAAAATAATAAAATACAAATTCTAACTTCTCCGAGCTAATCGCCCTCCGATATGTGCACATCTATTATAACGCACACATAACAAAAATTAATAAAAATAAAATACAATGCCGGGCTATCTTCCGGTGACTTTGCGGACTGGAAAATGCTTGTTTTATCAAGTGCACTTTTTATCTACACTTAAGTGCAGTTCGTGCACTTTTTCCGGAACTAACTCTATTCCGTCTCCTGAACGTCTTCACAACGTATCGGACGCTTTTTCCATTTATTCCGCTTAGTTTTACACGCTCGCACCTATCTCAATAAGCTATGTTAACTTACCACTAAGTGCGCTATCGCGTGTGTCCATTTATTCTCGCCAGGACGGACCTGGCTGCTGGTCCTCGCCGCCACTCGCCACTCGTCTTAAGCGAATAACTGGCATCTGCTTGCCGTCTCGTCCCGTTCTGAAAGAGATCGAGTCAGTCACCATCCTGACCGGTCATCGTGAGTCCGATGATGCACAAGACTCCCTGCTGCGGCCGGGTGGGGTAGCTGCCGGTTGCAATAGGGCTTTAGATCTTTAACATGAACTTTTCCAACCGGGACTCCGGCCAAACTCGCAAGCTCGCATACGGGCGACAATCGCTTTTTAATCTTAAACGGGCCGTGGAATTTCGGTGTCAATTTTGCGGCTACGTTTTGCAGATGACAATACGTGTTGCCGTTTCAAGACTAAATCTTCTACGCGAAAAGTATGGTCGCGTCGTCGAAGGTTATATTGCAACGACTGCTTTTGGTACGCCTGCTCCAAATTCTCCGACACCCACGCTTGCAATGACTGCAAATTCTGCATTCGCTCCGACCATTCCGCGGGATCCCGTGTTTCGACCTCCGCGGTTTCCGTGTTCCGAGCGCGCAACGAATTTGCCGGCGACAACTCGCGGCTAAGATTTAACAAAGCTGGTGACGCGCCTATGGATGAATGGTGTGCAGTATTGTATGCAAAGCGGAAATCTTTAAGGTATTGGTCCCATTCTCGATGATCCCTCTCTAGAAAGGTTACTATCATCGTCTTTAGTACTCGATTTACGCGCTCCACGGAGTTCGCTTGCGGGTGATACGGAGGGATGGTCGTGTGGGTAATTCAATGCTCGTCCGCGAATGCTTTCAAAGTCCGATTAATAAACTCCGTTCCATTGTCCGTCAGCAAAAACCTCAGCGCGCCCCAACGCGAGAACGTCACTCAACATTTCGCAAATCTTTTGACCGTTCGCGGCCTGTATTGCGCTACACTCAATCCACTTAGTAAAAAGATCTTGAACCACGAGAACATACTGATGATCGGACTTACTACGCGGAAACGGACCCATGATATCGGCAGCGACTACCGTTCATGGCCCTTCGATTGCGCGCTATCCCATAAGACCGGCGGGGCCAACCTGTTCTACTTTAGTGCGTTGACAGACATCGCACCTTTTGACGTACCGCGCGACCTCCCGAAACATGTTCGGCCAAAAATACGCGATACCAAGTCGCTGGTACGTTTTCTCTACGCCCAAATGTCCGGCCTGAGGATCGTCGTGTGCCTCGAGCAAGGCCTCCCCGCGCAGCTCCGACGGCAACACCAACTTCCATCAGTCGAGATCCTCTACTATCTCCGATAATACCGGTTTGGACCTCATATAATACAGCTGTCCGTCTACGATCCGCCAATCCGTAAAATGCCTACGACTGTCCGAAACCTCTCCAAAACGCTTACGATACCACGCGTCTGCTGTATTCGCGATAGGATCTATTTGTGCGACCGCTATCGTCGTCACTTCGGTGTCACTCTCATACATACGCGATAGCGCGTCCGGTACATGATGCAGGGCGCCTTTTCGATGCACGATGTTATAGTCGTACTCGAGGAACTCTAACGCCCACCTCGCGAGTTTACCAGTCGGGTTCTTCAGATTATGGAGCCATCGCAAGCTGCTATGGTCTGTAATCATCGTGAATTGGTATCCCTCTAAGTATGGCCTGAACTTTTTAATGGCCCAAACTACGGCTAAACACTCCTGTTCCGTAACCGAATATTTCTTCTCGGGATTCGACAGCGCACAGCTCGCGAACGCGATGATATGCTCCGTGTTGTCAATATTTTGCGTCAAAACAGCACCAATTCCGACGGAACTCGCGTTGGTTTGCACGACGAACGGTATGTTAAAATCCGGACACGATAATGTAGGCGCGACAACTAACGAGACCTAATCTGCTCAAAGGCGCGACACTAGTCTTCCCCCCATTCCCAGCACTTTCCTTTTTTCAAAAGACGCGTCAAGGTTCAGTAGCGAACTGCGGTATAAAGCGTCGGTACCACGATGACATGCCCAGGAAACGACGTAACTATTTCAAGTTTGTTGGTGGTGGATATTCCATTATCGGGCGCGTTTTCTCCGGATCTACGGTTAAGTCGTCCCTTTACACGACAAACCCCAGATAACGAACCTGCGAGCGACAAAACTCGCACTTCTCCGGGTTTATTGTGAGACCGGCAGCCGAAATCCGGTCCAATACGCGTTTCAACCATACCAAATGTTTTTCGAAGGTTGGCGTTACAACTACGATGTCATCAAGATACGCGAACGCGTGTAGTTCCATTTCTGGTCCGATAAGTTTATCTAATAAGCGCTGGAAAGTCGCGGGCGCCCCCGTTAGTCCGTACGGCATCCGGGTGAAATGATACAACCCTTTTCCCGGAACGCTAAACGCAGTGATCTCTCGGCTTTTCTTGGCCAAAGGTATTTGAAAATACGCCTGGCTTAAATCGATCGTCGAGATATAATGCGCGGATCTCAATTTATCTAAGATGCCGTTCATGTTCGGTAGCGGATACGCGCCTTCTTGGAAAGACTGTTAATCTTCCTAAAATCGAGGCAGAAGCGATATTTACCGTTCGGCTTTTTTACCATCACTATCGGATTTGACCACTCGCTAAACGATGGCTCAATGATACCGGCCTTTAACATTTTGTCTACCTCGTCGCGAATTACTTCTTGGATCTTCGGCGAAACGAGATAACACCTTTGTCTGACGGGCGCGTGATGACCGACGTCGATTTTATGTTTGATGAGAGAAGTGACACCAGGACTAGCGGTGGTTTCTGGTACGTTTTTCGCGATAAATTCTTTAAGTCGGTCTTGCTCAGAAGGCGTTAATTCGGGGAGCGCAACACAACACGTTTTCGCGAGAATTTCTCGCGACTCAAATGGATAGTTGATTTTAGGCTCGTCCTCGAAACACCACCTTGAGGACGCGAAACTTATGTTAACGCTTAATCGACACAGTAAGTCCAACTCCGCTATGCACGGAACAACCAAAGTCAGCAATAACCCTACGGTAATATCACACGTTCGATCCTCTAACATGAGCGATATTTCCGCCTCTTCGCATATTTCGGCGATCTGGCCGTTAACGGTACGAATTCGCGACCCGTTATTCTGCTTAGTTGGTATCCTAAACTGTCGTATAATTTCGATTCCTTTCCGACCAAAGATCGGTTCGAGTCGGGATCGACGAGGGCTTGAAGGAGTCGCCCCTGCACGAATACTTTAAAATACAATAACGGCGTTAACCGGGAGCAATCAAGAGCGTACGAACTGCCTGTACAATCCGGTATCGGGATCCCTATTGCAATTTCAGGAGTCGCAGAGACCCGTCCTACTGACTCCCTTTTTCGTTTCCCGAGCATGAGGGGCACGTCTTGACGGTGAAATTCACTTTCCCGCAGCGGTAGCAATGCAAGTGCTGCGGTTTTTTACATTCGCGTGCAACGTGTCCCGTTTTCTCGCAATTCCAACATTTGATGTTAACGCGCGAACCTGCAGTCGTCGCGACGGTAGCCGTCTCGGTTGCCGGATCGGCTGCAGGGGTTGCGGTCGCCGTGCTTTTACGCGATTTTCCGGACGCTATCCCCTTCTGCGGTCCGCGCGCATTAACGCCGGCAACTGCAACCGTTGCAGTTCGCTGCTCTTTTTTCGGTGGCCTGTATGCCAGTTCGGGGAAGATGGACTGTTTCGCGGTCGGAAGCGCGCGATGCGTTTTGGCGGCCTCATAACTTCTTTCCACGCGCGTCACTCGACGCTCCAAAGTCGCGAAATCATAAATGTACTCACGATCTCCGCGGTCCTATAGCGCGGCAGCATATTGCGATACACGTACCCAAGCTGTTCGTCTAGACTCCACGGCGGGCTCATGCGATCAAAAAGAGCTAAGATATATGTCAGATACTCCGCGAAAGGCTTATGTTCTCTCTGAGTCCGCCGAGCAGCCTCATCCCGTAATGCGAACTGAAAATTCGAGTTTCCGAACCGGGCGCGCCACGCGGCAACGAACTGCCGCCATGAGTGCAACTTCGCTCGTTTATGCCGGAACCAGTACAACGCTGTACCCGATAAGAAAAATGGCAAAAATTTCGATAAATCTTCGTCCCTAACCGGTAGCAACGCGCGTCACTCCTCGATTCGCATGAGGAACGTTTCCGCGTCACTCCTGCGCGCCCCCGTGAAATTTAAATTCCATCGTCGCATGATATTATATACGTCCATTACGGACGACATACCCCGGTTAAACGGGCGGCTATTTCCCGATGGCGCAACCACGCGGTCCTCCTCCGACAACGACAGCAGAGATGGCGTAAATCGTGACTGAACGCGAGGAGGCGCGACGCTTGGATAACCTGGCCGTCGCGCGGTCGCACGATCCGCTCCCCCGAGATGGAGGTTTCCACGTAATCCGGCCCCCATGTCGAACCGCTCGCTGGGGCTATCCGGTCTCATAGCCCCGGTCTCGAGAGGAGCCAAAAGTTCCAATTCGCTATACGTAGGCGAGTGCGTGGGGTCTAGGCCGAGAGTCTGGTACCGCTCATGATGCGCAAGACGTGCCCTCATGATAGTTTCGGTAACCCCCAATCGTAAAGCGCATTTCTCTAGTTTGGCCTTCAACTCGGCCGCCGACAGCTCGTCAATCCACTTTAATTCCGACATCGCGAGGGAAATTTCAAAGAGAGGGAGGAAGAAAAAAAAAATTCTGATTCGCGAGCCGACCGATCAAAAGGCTCGATATAGGAGCAAAAGATCGATAGCCAATACGTGCCGTGAGCTCCCCAAAATACTCTGATCAACTATTCGCACGCGAGTAGCAAGTTCGAGGAACGCGCACGAAAGGCTCCGCTAATCTTTAATAAAGATAAGAAAATTTTTCCGCCGCCTTTCGCGATCACGTCCGCTAGAAACCGTACCAGCAATGAAACGCAATCACGGACGCTAAATAACCGGAAGACAATGCAAAAATCCTGTAGCGTAATTTTGGAGCAAACGTAACCCAAGCAATACGCGAAATTCGCTGAATATCATCAGCCAAAATGCGTCAATTATGCAATAACTTCATCAAAGTACCGAATGCCCGAAATTCCATGACCATGCGCACGCGGGACATACGAAGATACAATATAATTTCAACACAAGTAATACAATATAATTCAATACAAAATATGATTTAAATAAAAATACAAAAATGCCTATAAAGAGAAGTAAGGATTAGCATGACAAACAATCAAAATATACAAAAGTTTCAAAATTTTCACATCAAAAGATATCAAATTTCAGAAAAGAAAATAATTCAATTTAATGTTGGGTCTACTCAAGTGACCTCCACAAATGTCCCATGGGATATCGAAGAAACACGGGATACAAGAACTAATTTAAATTTATTTATTCAATGTTCTCTGTAGGATAGAAAGAGTGAAAAAATGAAAATAAAGAGAAAATGTAAAAAAAAATGAGCAAAATTAAGGTGTGATTAATTTTAATTAAATAGTTGACGATACTGCCAGAAAGGAAAAGTAAGAGCAACGAACAGAAGTGAGGGTGCATCTAATAAATAATAAAGTTAGCAATATTTCAAAGGTGACGAAAAGCGAATGAAAAAGTCCGAAAAGAACTAAAATCTCTAATTTTGTACAAGCAATTCTTCAACGCAAAGAAGAGAAAAGGAAAATACATATCCCGTGACCTTATCCCATGTGAC